CCACATTTTGTTTATCCATTCTCCTTTTGATTGACAGCTGGGCTTTTTCCGCTGTTTTTTTTCTTTTTTTTTGCTATTATGCATAAAGCTGTTATAACCATTCTTCTAAAGTCTTTTTGTGAATTTAATTTCTCTTGGTTAAACACCTCAGAGTGAAATTGCTGGGGATCAAGGTGGGTACTTGCTTAGTTTTATAAGAAACTGCCAGACATTTTCAAAGAGGTTGTACCATTTTATATCCCACCAGCAATGTGTGAGAATTCTAGTTGCTCTACAGCTTTGTCAACATCTGGTGTTGTCAGTCTTTAATTTTTAACCAGTTAATTAGTATGTTGTGGTGTCTTATTGTGATGTTAATTTGTATTTCTTTGATGACTAATGATGTTGAATATTTTTTCATGTGCTTATTAGCTATTTATTTTTCTTCCTTTGTGAAATGTTTGTCCAAATCTTCTGCCCATTTTTAATTGGTTTATCTTTTTATTATTGAGTTGTAGGGGCACTTTTTTTATTGAGGTATCATTGACATATAACAGTATATTAGTTTCAGGTATATGACAGAATGATTTGATCTTTGTATATATTGCAAAGTGATCACCACAATAAATGTCATTAATATCTGTCACCATACATAGTTACAAAACATTTTTTCTTGTTATAATTTTTGAAATTTATTCTCTTAGTAACTTTCAAATATGCAATACAATATTATTCACTATAGTCACCATGCTGTACGTTACATCCCTGTGACTTATTTATTTTATAATGGAAAGTTTGTACCTTTTGACTCCATTCACCCACTTCACCCACTGCCCACCCCCCAGTAGGGGCTCTTTGTATATTCTGGTTACAAGTTCTTTGTCAGATATATGTTTTATGAATATTTTCTCTCAGTCTGTGGACTGCTGCTCATTTTATTTACTGTGTGTTTTGATGAATTGGTTTATCTTTGTACCCCTTGCTATGTCTATTCATGGATTCAACTTGATAATATTTTCTGAATGAAAGAGCTGAAAGTTGTCCCTTCCTCCAGCCTGTAGGTACCATAATGCAAAAATGTACTGCATGTATAATGAGAAAGGGATGGTTAGGGGAGCTTTTTTAGGTTGGAGGGTGAGAAATCTGAGAAGATATTTAAACTGAGAACAGAATGACAAGAAGCCATTTTTTTTCCTGGGGAAAGGGATCCCAGGCAGAGGGAACAGCTAATAAAAGGGCCCTTAAGGAACCCTTAAAGACTGTTGGTGGAAATATAAATTGGTATACCCACTATGGAAAACAGTATGGAGCTTCCTCAAAAAATCAAAATAGAACTACCATATGATATAGCAGTTCTACTTCTGGGTATTTATGTGAAGAAAATAAAAACACTAATTTGAAAAGACACACATACCCCATGTTCATTGCAGCATTATGTAATAGCCAAGGTATGGAAGCAGCATATGTGTCTATCAATGGGTGAATTTCGGAAAAGACGATGTGGTTTATATACACAACAGAATATGACTCAGCCATAAAAAGAAAGAGATCTTGCCATTTGCAACAACATGGATGGATCTAGAGGGTATTATGTTAAGTGAAATAAGTTGGGCAGAGAAAGACAAATACTATATGATTTCACTTATATGTGAGATCTAAAAAACAAATGAATAAGCAAAACAAAACAAAACTCATAGATACAGAGAACAGATTGGTGGTTATCAGAGCAGAAGGGGGTTGGGTTGTGGGCAAAAAGGGTGAAGGGGGTCAGCTGTATGGTGATGGATGGCAACTAGATTTATTGTGGTGATCACTTTGTAATATATACAAATATCGAATTACTATGTTGTATACCTGAAACTAATTTAATGTTATATACCAATAAAAAAGAAATAAAAATAAAAACAAAAAGACTTAAGAAATATATTTTAAAAAATGGCCCTTAAGGTAAGTTGGGGCTAGGCACAAACTATCCAACATACCCCCTTTCAGGCAAACTAAGGTGTCAGGGGTTACTTGCTTTAAAAATTATCACAACTGGAATAAGCTGATGCTATAGTCTTACTCTTTCTTAGTACTGCGGTATTTAGCAGTTTCTCAACCCCCTCCTTGTCTTCTCCAAGCCCCCAGGTCCTAGGTTCCAAGATGCTTTGAAGCTAGGAATTGTGGATTAGTTAACACAATGGTCAACAGGGTTAAGGCTAAGTCGGGATATTTTTTTCCCCTCAAAGGTGACCAAGTGATTGAAGAGATAAATCAAGGTTTGCATAAGTAAAAAGTAACTACATTTATCTTTATAAAACAGCAAGCTATGAAATGTTCCACCTCTCTGCTTTTTACATTTAGATTGTATAATGTAAGACTTTTTCAATACAATATCAACTCAATAAGTGGAATATAATTTATTTTTGAAATTTTTCCCAGTTTAGGGAGAGATAGAAGAAAAGATGACGGGAAGGGATAGTGGAAGAAGGAGATACACAGAGAGTCAAATAGAATGAAACATATAGGTGAATAAATGGAGGTCTATTGACCAAGAGGAGGAATATCAGAGTCCTAGAGGGAGGTAGAGATGCTGAGGAAAAAAACAAAAAACAAAAAACACCTGGGTGAAGGAGAAGCCAGAAGTTAAATCGGTTTAGTGTGAATGTATTCCTCTAGTAATATTTAACACACACCTTTCTTCTGTGTTTCCCTTCTGATCCACACTCTACATTAATGCCAAATTCCTCTCACAGTTTCTTTCCATTATTTCCTTCCACCAGACTGATTTTTCTCTAGTCAAAATGCAGAGATTCTTTAAGCTAATAAAATAACTTTCAGTGCCCATTCTCCCATATTTCAGATGAGAAGTTATCTCCAGCCATAATCATGCCTTCTGATCATAATTGTTGTGACCCTTCTCGGGGCAAGCTTCACATCTACTGTCAGGATTTTGGACCAAAAAAAAAAAAAAAAAAAAAAAGTATGGTTCTGAAAGAACTTATGTTAAGTGGAGATAGTATATAACTGAGTGGGTCAAAGCAGGACCCATGGAGACCAGCAAGCTCCATCTGAAAATCACAGTTCATCTGGCCAGTGGTTTGCTGTACTCAGATAAAGGTCTAAGGAGTACAATTAGCCAGAAGTAGTGCCTGTGGTTTGCTGGGCCCTGCTCTGGTCAGAACTGATGGAAATAGGGCATTGATAGATTTGGCAATATCCTTAAGGAGTGAGATGGATGGCTGCTTCCTAATACTTTCCACTAGGAAAAGCTCAACTGAGGTTAGAGAAATAAAAGCAGCCCCATTTGCAGGACTGGCTGCTAGAAATTCAATGTGTATATGTACCCAAGGAAATACTTGGTCAAAGTATATAGCTAAACTGATCAGCCATGGACTGAAGATGTATGTTATAATAAATGGAACATTACAGACTGGACTACTGCAGGAAAAACAATCTGGTGAAGGGAGATAAGAAAAGAAATCAATGAAAGAAATTTAATAATTCATGTAGGACATGTACCAACTCATCAGAACAGGAAGACAGAATAATCTATTTAGTGTAAAAGAGGAGACAATCTGACCCCCAAAACTAATGTGGACTCTACAGTCCTGGGGACTCCAAGTTCGAATTCAACTCCCTTGTCAGTTCAGTTTAAGGTCACAGAATGGGCCCATGAAGCCTCATGGCATTTGGACATGAATGTCCTAGGTAAGCAGAGGGGAAAGAGTGGGGGAAAATGTATGAATCAAACAAACAAGTGAGTAAGCGATATGAGACATGTCAAATTACTAAAAACTTGCATCTTCAACAAACTCATTTTTTTTCTTTTTTAAAAAGATTTTATTTATTTGCCAGAGAGAGAGAGAGAGAGAGTGAGAGCGCACAAGCAGGGGGAGCAGCAGGCAGAGGGAGATGCAGGCTCCCCTTGAGCAGGGAGCCTGATGCGGGAGTTGATCCCAGGACCCTGGGATCATGACCTGAGCCTAAGGCATACACTTAACCAACTGAGCCACCCAGGCGTCCCAACAAACTCATTTTTAAGAGGAGTGGGGCATGTTAAACCAGACCAATGTGTGAAGTAGATGATACTGGGCCAATCTTTAGATTTTTAAACAAAGAATACTACCTTATAGAAGTATAAACTTCCTCAGGAAGAGGGTTTGCAGAGCACACCAGACATGCAGATGAGAATAGTATGTTCATGGCATTAGACAAAATTGAAGGAACTAGCTGCTAGATATGCAGTATTGGCAGTAATAGGAAATGACCAAGAAACTACTTTTATTTCAGAAGTTGTCCAAAATTTGGCAAAAGACACAAACTGTGGAACTTTCATTTCACAAATTCCCCAGGCTGTAGGGCCAATTGGAAACCTTAATGAATGGAAGACTTAAAACACAGAAAGAATTTAGCAGCACCAGATATAAATGGCAATGAGGTAAAGTGCTAATAAAGACAGAATTAATTGAAAGACTCTGAGTGAATGTAACTTCCTCGATAGAAATGTTCAAGAAAGATGGACAAAAAACCTATGCTCACTTTATTCTCAAATCCTCTAAGAAGAGATAAAGATGAGAAGTATGAAGAAAAGAGAGTATGAGTAGTATATCCACATAAGGCCATCAAAAAGGAGGATCAATAACTAGGGATACTCTTTCAACCTTATCCTATAGCCAGAACCTGTAGGACAGATAAAGGCTCAAGAATAATAATCTTTATATTTCTCTTTTCTATTATTAGATCTGCTTTGCTGTTTTCTTTTGGCGGTGGCAGTCTCTCTGGTGGTCATTATAATAGCAGTTTACTGCCAACACAAACAAGAGCATCGTATGTAAGTTTTGTGGGAGGTTCACCAACTTTATCAAAAAGTGCTGTAGGACCACTGGCCTCATTCTGTACTTGATCATATCAACAGCCTCATTTCTCAACCAAACCAACCATAGAACCATTCCTAGCCCCATAGGATCCATTATCACCAAGAGCCCATTTGCTACAGCTTTCAGTAATATTTATCTACTGAGGAGATCATTGAGGCCATGGAGCCTGTGTCAGTCCCCGTGCTGGTTGCTGGACTTGTTGATTGTGTAGCCCAGTTAATAAGAATAGCTGAAGAGCTTTTACAGCTGATTTCACAAGAACAGGTTCCTTGTGTAGAGCAAAATGATAGAGCAGAAGAGATAGAAGTGGATGCATCTCCTCCTGAGGAAGCTTCGCTCCCAGACCTTGCTGAGCTCTCAGACTTAGAGTCAATACTTACACCAAGAGAAGATGAAGACCTAATCCTTGACATAGATCAAGCGATGTTAGACATAGAAGATTTATATGAAGATGTACTCTCCAGTATAAACAATGACCTAAGAAGTGGTTAAGATCTAATTTGCCCCCAGCAGCATGTGAGAACTGATCGTTTTTCTGTTTTAAATAGATTCTGATTTTTCTGAGTATTAACAATGTTTGTTTTCTCCTAGTTCTGTACATTTTCATTACTAATAGCTTATAGAACAAGTAATACTAGATTTACTTCCAGTAGAAGCTGGTCTGTTTTCTTCTTTATATTTCTTTTAAAAGCTCCGACTTTAGCCACATGGCTTTTTATCTATCTGTTCTTGTTCTCCTGTTGGGGTTCCTAATAACAGAAGCAAATAATACCAAAAAAAGAAACTCCTCACCTAACAACGGAGTGAAGACCTCATGGACTCTATTATGTGTTGGAACCCAATGTCATTATTCTGCGAATGGAAACCAAAAGGGGAATATCCCCCAAGACGGTATTATAATGAATACATCACACTGACAGGACAGCGTTGGGGCACTTCTATTTGAAAAGATATAACTCCTCACTAGGCCTTTAGGAGAGGATGTGTCAACCAAAGAATGCTAGAGCAGACTAGGGGAAGCAATTTTGAAAAAACACCATCTATCAGATAATAAAACTGTAGAAAGGTTTTCAGATAACTTTTGCCAGGGAGAAACCTTTGAAAAAGCTGAGGCCAAGAGGTTCCGATGCAGGACTATTCCCTCAAATGATGACCCACACTACAACTAGTCTTCAGTATTGTTCCCCAAATGGAAAGGGCGAATTACATCAAATAACAATGAGAGGAGTAGTAGTAGTACTAACAGGTCTAAACAGAGCCCCATGAAAGACTGTTCACCAATGGAGTCAAACCCTTATGGCATTGGCTCAGACGTGATGGTCCACAAATAGAAGTGGATAAAGTATATCTTCTTGGGTATAGCTAGATTTATAAAGAATAGCTGATAGGCTTATTATAGGGTACCTGCTGCCACCTTGACATAGAAATCTTAACTATTGACAAATGGGAGCAATAATGAATTTGAATAAAATATGGACTGGTATTTAGCCCTAATAATTCTACAAATACCAGAAGGCTAAAATGCAATAGTTGGATGACCCCTCTCCCCATATCAAAATAGAAAGAGACCCAATAAATGTGTGGGAAATTCACTGCTCATACTAATTCCATGCCGTATAGTAATCTTGCTTCCATTTGGAACAATAGCTACCCTTCAGACAAGCCCATGGACACTATGGTCCTCCTTCCTAGAGAATGGCCTTTGCATCTTACAACATGGGCAACAACTAGGTAAAGGCAGAGTAGTAGTTAGGACAAATTGGTGCATTCAAATTGTGAAGAAATGACATGTGGAAGTTAATCCACACTGGTGGAAACCAGACTATACCCAATTCGTATAGAGTCCTAAAGCATATTATTAGCAAATAGATTAAAAATACATTGAATACAGATAGATTCATAACTAATCAACATGACAGATGCTGCCTCTAATCCTAAGTGAGGTCTACATACAGGGATAATTAGCTGCTTTTAAAGGTAAATGTGGGGGAAATTAGAGATCTGATGTGGATAAGCAGTGGCAGGAGAAACAAAGTCAATTTCACCACTGAATTTCAGGGTGAGTGTATGTAACAAATTAAAGGAGACTGCTGTATCAAAAAAAAAAAGCTACCACAGATCCTTTTGAAAATGAGAGGCACTTAGGTGGCTACTCAAACATGTTATTATGAGAAAGTTCCACAGTTGACTGCTATGTGGAGTAGATGAGGATCCAGGACACTTAAATGGGTGCACAAAGACACAAAGAGGAGAAATAAAAATTCTATCATCAAGCAACTACCGTGGGTAATTACAAGCCAGACCAGACAGCAGATTGAGGGACTTCGCTGCTGTACTAATTGGACAAATCGAGCCTTACTTTGCTAGGGTAGGGGACTCTAGCTATTGCAGTATGTCCAACCAAGAAGAATCACAGAGGAATTGGATAAAAGTTAAAAGATAGAGTCTATGCTTTAATTAAAGTTTTGGAAACAGCTGGAAAAGATATATACTCTCCACTAGGAATTTGGACTTTAGGAAATTGGCTCTGATTTTGTGTCAAAATAAAACCCAAAGCAGGAGTACTTGGGCAAGATCAGGAAACATCCAAGGAGAGACCATCAGTCTGCTACAAATTCTATTTAGTGAACAATTTCACTGTAAATGGACAGATCTGGTGCTCTTCAAATATGATTGATACCGAACGGTAGCTATTCCCCTATGTAGAACTCTGGAATATAGGCGCTATAACAGATTAGTGTGAGCTCATTAAAACTGTTAATATTAATGAGAGAACACAAGCAAGCATACTAACTAAAGCTGGCCATCAAAATACATCAAGAGAAATCTGTGGGACTACTACACACCTTGAAACAAGATAAAGCTTGAACCAGCCTATAAAGCAACTAATGCTCAACATGGTCCTTATGTGTCAAAGCTGGAAGATGCTACAACCTGGTAATATGTGAAGCTGGCTAGCCTCCTGGCAGATGAGTCATGTGGAAAGATTGTACTACAGTGGCACCTCAGGATTAGATAAAATATATTAGATGTTTGCTTTGATTGTGTGATTACATGTGTTTAAGAACTGTTAAGATGTAAACCCGCTCCAAACAGTGGGTTGTTGTATTAAGCATGATTAGAGTTGATAGTGATAAGAAGTTAAGTGTAGGCAATAATAAAATACTTAGGAATAAGAGCTAGTAAGGAAGTATTTTCAGGAGAGAGTGATAAGAAGTAAGTGTAGGCAATAATAAAATACTTAGGAATAAGAGCTAGTAAGGAAGTATTTTCAG